TCCCTAATTAGAATACTTATTAGTTGCATACATAATTAGAATACTTATTAGTTGCATACATAATTAGAATACTTATTAGTTGCATACATAATTAGAATACTTATTAGTTGCATACATAATTAGAATACTTATTAGTTGCATACATAATTAGAATACTTATTAGTTGCATACATAATTAGAATACTTGTTAGTCCACATGTAGTACCTATATATGTAATATCAAAGCAATTGCACTTGTGGTTTTTAACAAGAAGTCGAAAATATCAGTTTTTACCAAAAATGACAAAAATATTCACCAAAATTAGAGAATTGAAGATATCATCACGAAATGAACAAATCTGAGAGAGGTCCACATGTAGTACCTATATATGTAATATCAAAGCAATTGCACTTGCGGTTTTTAACAAGAAGTCGAAAATATCAGTTTTTACCAAAAATGACAAAAATATTCACCAAAATTAGAGAATTAAAGATATCATTACAAAATGAACAAATCTGAGAGAGGTCCACATGTAGTACCTATATATGTAATGTCAAAGCAATTGCACTTGCGGTTTTTAACAAGAAGTCGAAAATATCAGTTTTTACCAAAAATGACAAAAATATTCACCAAAATTAGAGAATTGAAGATATCATCACGAAATGAACAAATCTGAGAGAGGTCCACATGTAGTACCTATATATGTAATATCAAAGCAATTGCACTTGCGGTTTTTAACAAGAAGTCGAAAATATCAGTTTTTACCAAAAATGACAAAAATATTCACCAAAATTAGAGAATTAAAGATATCAACATGAAATGAACAAACCTAAGAGAGGTCTACCCAAGGTACATATACACCAAGTATCAAAGCATTTAGGCTTGTAGTTTTCAAGAAGAAGTCGAAAAAGTAAAACATTGACACGGACGACGACGACGACGGACAATCACTCATATGATAAGCTCCGCTCGACAAAGTCGACAGCGGAGCTAAAAAGCGTAACAGTGTAGTAATATAATACATACTGTAGTACTTACATGAGAGACAGGAGGTGTATTAGTTTCCATTTCACTGTCAGCTGATTCATCAATATTACAGTTGTTATTGAAATTAACTAGTATACCATCCGGTATGGTACACACAGGTTGTGATGTAAATTTTTCCGCGTCGACCTCACATGCAGCAGGCGAGGGTGACTGACAGTCCATATATTCCCTTAATTTCATTCCATTCTGTAATCCATGAATTCGATGTTCTGTTTCAAAACCTGAGTATGCTGTACCTAAAAAACCATTGGATTGTACAAAGTTCTTTGGCAGTGATGAAACACCATTATTGCAACTTCTTTTCTGCAAGAATAACAAATATTCAGCAATATCAGTCAATTGAACAAGTTACATTGCACCATACATGCATATAAATGCCCAATCCTCAATGCAAAGAACTGCATCATTGAAGTAGTGTTCGCACACAGTTCCTTAGTATGTGCTAAAACATGGGCCCATACTAAGAAAACATGCATGCTTAGTACAGACTAAGTAATGGCTAGGCCAAGCTAGATCTGATACATTTTTAAGACCCAGTGAGGATATTAAAACAGACTAACTAAATGTGTGTGAACTCGTAGCTCAGATTAAGCACCCTCTTGGATTATTTTCAGCAACAAAATACTAATGTTTTATACGTCCAGGTGGTCCAACTCAGCTATAAATTCTGTAAAGGCACATTGAAATAGCTACATGCCATTTTAGCAAATTTGACTCAATACATGAATTAACAAAATCTTAATTTAGCTAAAATGCCAACAATCTCATAAAAATAAAAAGGCTAGCTAAAAAGACTTGTTTTATAGTTGTTGCTCTCCAGTGAGGCCCTGTAACTCACAGCAAAATTGTGGGAACACACTGCGAAATTTCCGGATCAGATTTGATATGCATTTTTCATAATCGAGTCCATTGAAATGTGTTTCGATAATCAAAAGATCTATTCTTCTGATTTCTACGCAGGTTTGTTTTTTTGTCCCTAAATTATTTCATACTTGCACCTTTAACAGATTATTATTTTGTGACAAAGCATTTTCTTTAAAAACCCAGGGGTATATTACACCATCATTATCTTGCGAACCGTAAGTGTGCGAGTTTGAATGTTCTAGTCCGAACGCACTTGATTTGATGTCGGTCCCAATAAGCCGTACTGAATCAAAACTTAAACTCAAGAAAAACTGCAGATTTGCTGCATTATTTTAAACATACACTAAGAAAGGCCAAAATTATGGTATCCACTGATATCATAGAACTCATTAAGCGTGTCAGATAACGAATAATTTCAAGCGTGAGTGTGAACATTGAAGAATACAGTTGGCGTGTCCCGTACTGCTGGAGAGTTTGGGAGACATGGTTACCGTTGTTATGTAAACGCACAACAAGGGATAATCCTCTGACAACATTACTGTACCACTGTACACACTGATTGCTTACAAACAAGCTACCAGTAATCCTTCAAAGTATCTCTGATAATAGATCTAATAAAACTACTAGTATTAAAGAAACAAGTGCGACCATAGCTAGGCGCTATAGAAATCACAGGAAAACAGAACGTTTTTTTAGTCACTGCTTATGAATTATTGGTGAAAAAAATACAAGTTGCTGGGCAAGTATCGCTCAGTTCTCATGGATAGCAGAACAATTACCAAGTTCGTTACGCAAAATTATTATGAAGATTACTGTTTTTGACCATGCTATATCGATATTGCATTTTTTCTTCGTCATTAGCAAGTATAATTTGTTACAACTACGTTCATTCCTTTAAAATAAACAAAGCGTGTAACAGGCCAAACTTTATCTAGGCAATCAATTTGGTTTTACTAATATTATTTTGTAAAAAACAAATCGTTAACCTGTGTGAATGGATTGAAACCACTGCTGAAGATAGAAAACTAAAACAGCACTGAGTTGCAGCTTTTTCTTTGCCTTGTCTGTCATCGGCGTCTTCACTTGCTGTCTTTTCCTCATCATTGCGTTAGTAAAATGGTGCGAGAAAAATAGAATATTGACTTGGAGAATAAAACGATTTAAAAGTTACGCAAAGTTATGACCATGTTTCTCCGAGTCTTGATTGACAATAATACTGTGTATGAACATCATAAAGACGCCTATAGTTGTCTGGAGGGGCATATACAAATGAATGGAGGCCTTGGGGTGAGGGTTAGAGTTAAGAGTAGGGGTGGGGTACAAAAGGAACTCTTCTCAGAAAAAGCACACACTTTTCTTACTTGTCTCAAAAAGACAAACCGTCAGATGTAGGGTAGTGGTATTCGCCACGGTTACTAGTATTTAAAGAAAGAATGAAATGGCACTAGCTAAAGTATTGCTACAGGAAGCAATATAGCTATATCATAAGCTAACATAAGTGCCGCTTCATTCATTCTTGCGGTCACAATAATACTTCCATGGTTGTAAAATGTACTTACCGGACGCCTTGTTTGGTCACATGGACCCGGTGTGTGTTGATCAACAACAATGGCGGTTTCAAAGCAAAACTGCTCTAACATATTTTCTCGCCGCCTCTTGCCGCAGAACATGCCGTTATTAATCTCTTTTTTTTTTTTTTTTTGCGAACACTCTGGTAAGTACAGCTGCATGTATGTCAAACTGTCTCACGGTGATAATAATGTCGTTAAACTAAACCTCTCGTGCCAAGCTTGTTTCGATCACTGATATTCTCCACTCAAAAATCATGCAGCATTTCAGACCCTGGGAAAGTAATATGGTATATTCGTACAGTGGTCAAATAAAATTATACAGCCATGAATCATGCAATGTTTTTTCGGCTCTGGACGGATGATCTGAACATTTACTTTTAAATAAAATATAATAGTGCATCATGATTTTTGTCACCAACCACAATATCTCTATCACCCATAGAGGGACTGTACAAAATTACAAAATGGCTGGCTGGCGGTCATCTTGTGCAAACGAATGCAGTTGCATATTCAT